CTTTTTTTTTTTTTTTTTTTTTTCGAGGATTTTGAGGAGGATTCCCCAAAATACTACAAGACATAAGTGTTCAAGCAAAACCCACTGCACAATTCCATTTAAATACATTTTTTAAGGAAATAATAATTAAAAACAAAGAACAAGGAATTCTGAAACATGCATTATATTTGTAACGACACTGCCAAAAACAAAACCCCAACCATGAAAGTAAGCATCTACGCCATGTGCTTAATTATTATTTTAAACTAATTTTTTTTTTTTAATAATTATTATTATTATTTTCCGGTTGGCCAAAATAGATGCCGACGATTGTTTGTTTGTTATTGAGTAATTAATCAACAAAATCATTAAAAAAAAAAAATGATCGTTTATCCCTCAGTAATGATTCAGTACGGATAAAAAAAAAATATTCCACTTATTTTTTTTTATTATTATTTTTTTTTGGCTAAAATCAATATCTGAACAAAATATATATATTTTAATAAATTGACAGTTAAATTATATGTTTTAAAATATATTTTTTCCGTTATGTCGTTGTCTTTCTTGTCTTTTTCTTGTCGATCACAATTGAAATATAATCCTAAATTCTTCTGTGAGCCAATTCTGGGAAGAAATTAAGAAAAAATTGTCAGGATATGGACCCCCACAAAAAAAACATAATTGGGCCTTGGCCCAGAGAAAAAATGGTCCATTTATCTTTAAAATTTTCATTTCTCGTTTGTCCTTTTAAAAAATTAAGAAATTAAGAATATATCTTTCTAATACAAATAAATTATATTTTAATTAGGTGAATGAAACCATATGTTTAAGAAAAATTGTACTAATTTTTTTTTCTTTGCTATATAATTTATCCATGTAATTTATGCTTGTTGTATATTATGTCCATATTAACATATTACTACACATTAAAAACTATGAATTTGCTAAAAATAAAATAAAAGAAAATACCAAAGTAGATATTTTAAATTTGAATGTATTTTATAAAAATAAATAAATGGTGGACCAAAATGAAACTAAGACTTATTTTAAGCCAAATAAAACAAATAATTTGCTCAATTTGGTTGTTTCATAATTTTAAACTTTCATTTTTATTCTTAATTTACAGAAAATATTGACTAGATAATTCTAAAAAAATAACCACCAAATTGATAATTACTCCAAAGATTAGGGACTATTGTGTTAATATATATATATATATATGAATTGTTTTAATATTAGATTCTTCTAACATATTTGACTAGAGTATTAAAAAATATTATTGGCTGCCTTTTCTTTTCTCAGCCTCCCATATAAAAAATAAGAAAATAATAGGAAAAAAAAAAGAAAAAAAAAATGGAGAGAAATATAATGAGGTCATGTGAGTGCAAACGTCATGGACCAAATAAGACCCAATTGTTGACATGTTATGTAAAATAAAATAAAATAAAATAAAAAAACCCATTGTTTCATAAAAATAGAATAATATGTGCTTTTAATAATAATAATAATTAATAAAAAGAAAGAAAAAGAAGTGGATAAGAGAGGTAGAAAGAAGAGGGGTAGGGTTGTTGTGTTAAATGGCTTTAAAATGGTACGAAAGGGCACCATGTGTTGTGCGTCGCGTGCAGCCCATCCTCCATTTAGGCGCAGCCTGCCTCTCCCCAAATACCCGCCCCTTCCGCATCAACTCCACCCAAGCTCAACCTTAATTTAATCAAACACCTTCACCTGGTGTCCCTTATTTATTTATTTTATTTTATTTATTTATTCCCTTTCATCTCCATAAAATAAAATTAACCCGAGGCTTCTGACCCCAAACGGAAAGGGCAAAGGCGAGCAAAAGAAACTGTGTTGGAACTGAGTGGGTGACGAAGAAAATGGATAAAAACAGCTCAAGAAATGCCCTTTTAATTTTAAATTCATTTCCCAACACCCGTACTTGATAACAATAATATAATAAATGTAGGGCATGTGTTTGTATATATGCTACATCACAAACATAATATTATATGCTTCTGCTCATGCCTTATCTAATAATTGAGGTCATTTGTTAATTCCAAAGTATCATACATTAAATTATATCAAAAGGGGGTTGTGTAATTAACTTGGGGACAGAGGCCAAGCAGGTATTAAAGTAATATAAGATGCAAATAAAGAAATGCGATGGGTTGCGGCGTAATAAAATGCAAATTTGGGGTCAGAATTTGGACCGGTAAAGAAGGGGTCGTCCATGAATTGAAATTCGCTGATTATTAACAAAAAAAAAAAAAAATGTGGGGTTGGAGTTGGACATGGTTGGGTCGCTGCACCAGGAAGCTTGGAGTTTGTCCTTATTGTCCAAATTCAGTGGGAGAGACTAAAGCCACCGTCACAGACCAATCACCGCAAACGCCTCCCAAAACCCAAATATCTTTTTTAATTTAAAATAAAATAAAACATCCCACCCGCTGGTGATATCCGCGTCACATCTTTCCAACTTTCGAATAATTTTGCTGTCCACCCATTATTTATTTTTATTTTTATTTTTTTTTACTCTCTTATGTAATTATTTGGGTTCAATAGAGATTGGTTTTTATCCGTTCTTTTTATTATTATTATTATTATTATTCTATATTTTTAAATATTGTCAAATCAAAAATTGAAACTTTATGCGGATGCCACTTGATTTGATCGTTTATTTTAATATTTAACACATTCAATATTTGTACTGAAAGAAGTGGGTGATGGGGGCAGGGAGAATTGGTGCTACCATGGATGGGAATAACATGGAGAGGCCGGAGAGAAGCGAGGGAGTCATACACGACAAGTGGGCGAGTGGGTGCTGAGGTGGCGTGGGGACCACACTGTTTATGAGGTAAAAGAAAGAATGTCCGGTGGGGTCCACCGCAAATGCGGCGACTCTCCCATTACCCATACCGCCTTTCCCTTCCTTTTTCTTCCCCCTTCCCGGGAGAGCTCTCTCATTATTATTACCAATAATATTCACTAATTAATACCATTCTTTATTATTATTTTTAAAATTTTTATTTAATAATTAATTATGAATAGATTATTTATTTCCAAACATCTCCAATTCCCTTACGTCTCTTTGCGTTCTCCAAAAGCCGCTTCTCTCTCTCCTCAACTTCGGATAACCCTCCATTTTCCCCCACGCGCCTTTCTAACTTATCCATCACATCACACGTCACCTATTTCCTTTTTTTTTCTAACTTCAAACTTTATTATAGAATTATAATAAGAAGGGCGGGGCGTCGTTTCATCAGATGGGTGCGGTACGACATGTCGATAAGTTGGGGCGCCGGCCGCAAGTATTGACCCGCGTACCGGAATCTTCGATGTTGTCGACTAAAGTATATATCATGATTTGGATGAAGGATAAGAGAAACGAAGTTGGGATTTTATAATTATTATTATTATAAGTAAATTACAAAATGGAAACACAAGGCAAGAAAAGGGACCACCGACAGACGCTCATTTCTCACTCCTCTGGCGGCCGAGGAGTGAAATCCTGTGCCGGTGGGTTGATGCTGGATATTACAATTTTAAAGCAAAAACGACATAAACAAAACAAAACTCGCCGGAATCTTCAATTTTCCGACACAATCCAGGACACTTCACTTCCGGGTTACTTTTTTTCAACCCGGAAAAGAATTTCAAAATTCGCCTAAACCATAGCAGTTGTGAACGTCTGATTCACAGAATCATATAAGCCATGCGTGCGTTCGGAATAATCTGGTTTTTAGACGAATAAATTGAGAAGTTTCCGTTCCGGTACCAGTTCTTCTGGATGGTAGTTGCGATGATGATGATCAACCAAGCCGCCGCTCTCAAAGCACGTAGTGGTTTCGGATTCCTCGGAATTCATCGACGGAGTAGCGGCACGCCGGGTTGATTTCGCCGGAAAATTCGGCGTTAAACGGAGATCTAAGTCGTTTAGTTGGTTTTTTGTGGATTCCTCGGATCGTTTACGTTTTGGGGAGAGTCTGGATCGGGAGTTAGAGAATCGAGAATTTGGATAAGAATCTCGAAGCTTCCACATGTCGGTACAGGCGACTTCAGCCTCGGACGTTTCATCGGAAGCCGGATTAGGAGATCCAGCGGCGAGAAACTCATTCATCGGCCGCAACGTACCGCCTCGTAACACAGTCTCCACCGCCGCCTGACAGATATGCCAGTTTCCAGTCCAGAGAAGACCAACGGCGCCGTTGACCGGATTGACAGTACGACCACAGGCTTCAAACAGCAAAGACTGAAACAAAGCTGAATAGAAAGACAACAACACCATCAGTAAAATCGAAAACAAAATGGGGCAAAAAAAAAAAAAAAAAAACAGAGCAAGGATGAAGAAGAAGCATACAAGGTCGTTGAGATTCAGGGACGGCGGAGATGAAAGACATAAGACCGGCGCGGCCGAAGAACTTAGCGACAAAGACAGTAGCGTGGCCTTGGGCTTCAGAGGTGTCAATCCACTGCAAGCAAGGGCGGAGAATACAGGACTCACTGCAGCCCTTTCGGAGAACGCGGCAACCGTTGCAGCTCATGTTTGGGAGGAAGATGGTGCAATGGAGATGGTGGTTCGCATGGAAATGAGGGGAGAAGAGGGTATGGGTGAGGGAGCAATCGGAGGAAGACGGATAGAGGGGGGAATTTATAAGAGCCGGAAGCAGAGGAATTGATTTAACTGTGGTTAAGTTAAGGTTAATTAGGTTTAGGTTAGTGTTAGCAGAAAATGAGAGCCGAGGAGCGCGTGGACATAGGGAGGATGAGATTCCAAAGAGTTGGGTGCTAGCGGCTCCGTGTCTCCGCGGATGGTGGCTCCTCCACCGTTGGATCCCCGAAGCTATTTTTGTATTTGTTTATTGTTATTGCGGACGAAGAGCATGGCCAACGCCGACTTCTTTTCCCGACAAATTAGGTCAATACCAAATGGACGAGGCAGCTTTCTTAAACTATTATATTTTAGAGCATCTTTCTCCCAATAAGAAGGCTTATAAAACAAAATATATAATTATATTCTTCTAATATTTTAAATGAAAATCGAGTGCGTAACACTACCATAAACACGAAAATCACGCACAAAGTTCATAGCATTAACGCGTAAGAAAGAAAAATGAGTCGTGTGTGTATGAATATTGGTTACTATCTATAAATTCTATGTCACCGCTGTATCGATTTTCCACCTAACATTCTAATAAGTTATTCAACGATAATTTTAAAATATTTTGAGCCCCACTAAAAATTGCTCGCTCATAAGGACAAAACTTGCAAGTGGGGCAATGGAAGAAAAATAAACTCCTACCAAAAGTTGTATAACAATAGGGATGAAGGGATGAAAGTGTTTGAAAGAAGATTCCAAGTAATAAAGACTTAGCTTTTATGGTGGGTGACAACTGGTCCAATAGAAGACGCAAATTTGATATTTTATAGATATTCATTCGATAAATATTTTGATTATTTTTATATTTTATAATTTTTAAGATATCATCGCTGGTATGAATATATGAATTCTAATAAGTTAGAGTTAGTAATTTGAGCAGCTTTCATAATGGGCAAACTTTTATACTTTCAACTAAGTCATTGAAAACCATATCAATTATGTGACAAATTATTTGGACCAAACAAAATAAAGTTTAAGAATTAAAAAAAAAAAAAAAAAAGAGGAAAAGACGAGAGTGCCCTTCCTAGACGAAGAAATATTACTAACATAATTTAAAATTGTTGGAAAACTGGAAGAAAAAGTAATTAAAAACTTGGAATTGCGGGCTCATAAATTCAATAGGTAAATTAAATGCAAGAGGAAGACAAAGACGCCGGTTGCGTTCCATTGGAGTGTCGTGGACGGTTAAACCAGTGTCGGATGACATGGCTGATATCGACCGGTACAGATGCTGAGGTGGCCTTCATATCTCATAATGTCCTGTCCTACTCGTCACTTTTCAATTGGTAGGTTACCATTCTTCTTTGACCAAACATTAACTGCCACGTAGTTTTATCTTACTGCTGGCCACTGCTCTCTTTCTGTGGAAGCAATTGAAATGAGTGGTTTTATAGGGCGCTAAGTAAATTTTTATCAGCTTGCCTTCTCTATCTCTTGAGATTTTTTCATATTAACAGTTAATAATGGCAGAAATAGAATAACCATATCATGAATATTACAAAGAGGGTAGGGTATGACCTCTAGATAGAGGTAGAAAAGGCGGTGATCTTCAAGTAGCGGCCATCCGATCACGTGAATGTTACGACATATATAAGTGCCAGGATGTGACTGCAGAAGATAGTGTATCATCCAACCCTCCATACAAAATGTACATTGAAGACAAGATGAGACGTAAGTAGGATGGAGGCAACAAGTATACAAAAGGGACAAAAATAGGCTTCACAAAGGGCTAGATTGGGCCTTGGACCTTAATCTCAAAAGTCGAGGTTCTTGAATAAGTTTGGACATGCACTCTAGAATTAAAGTCCGTTTATATGAAAAATGAAGACTAGCCATGTTTGGTGTCAATCGGACGCAAGACAGAGCTCCAAGTTTACATTCCGTATGAGTTGTATTCAGTTGAATGAGACAAACCTTGCCTAAGGTCCCACGAAGCCACAAAGCTTGCGCGAAAATGGACACGAGGCTTGAGCTCTTCTTAAAACTTGTCATGAACGTGCCAAAATCTAGTTGTTGCATGGTGGTTTGCCATCTTCTTCCTCGATTGTGATATTGTGGGGGGGGGGGGGC